TTCTCCCAAGCATATGAATGCTGTAGACAGTTGAATAGGAACCATACGAATAGGTTTACTCTCCTAGCAGTCAAACTGGAACGGCATACAATAAATCCTTCCCCCAATAATGAGACGACACTTCACTTTGAGGGTTAAAACAGGAACTCCCTGTACTGTCACATACAGTCTCTTTTATTACAATCCACAAAACATAGTACAGCCCACAGGGCGTTACAAAACAACCAATCACATCACAGTTACATCCCACATATTCCCTCCCCTTATCCTGAGAGGAAACTCAATTATACATACAGTTAAAACATACTTTCTACCCAACTTTCATAACTCCAAAACCATACATCACATTCACATAAAATTACATATTCACAATCAATCCATTCAGGGGAACAACATATTCAAAAATGGCACAAATCAGACAAGGGGTTCAAAAGTTAGTAAAAAGTCCTTTGTGGCTAAATGAAGCATGGCTTTCTGGCCCAAACCAGTTTCAGAGTCTTCTATCCTGGAGATAAGTAATTCAATTATCTCCCAGGACAGACACAAGACTCCATTAAGCACATGGTTGCAAAAAGACACAAAACACTTTAAAATACATAAAGTCACATTTACACATAACACACAGACATTTCACATATCCCCAGATAGCTGGGATCTGAGTGCACATTATTAGATGAATGGCACTCAGATCACACAAATAAGCCTTTCTGCAGGGGAAATAAACAGTTTAACCTGCAGGGCCATAGTCCAAAGGGAGCAGGCGAGCAACCAGGCTTCTCCAGTTCACAGTGGCGAGGTTGGTTTCGCCACACTTTCCATTGCATATCATCTCAGATTTGAGGACCCTTTCAAGGCGCTGCTCCCTAATTCCATCTTCTCTATTATACATCAGTGACCAGATAGGAAAGACTCTAGTTTGGGTTGCTAAAGCTGCCTTCTGTATTTGGATAATAAGTGCTAGAATCTACCTCTGTTTTTGGTTATGTACTTACGTTGTCTCCTATGAATTAAGTAAAGTAGTCTTTCTGTGCAGTTTATTTTTTTAGACTGAAGTGGCTCTCAAATACCCAAATCACAGCCCTTGGATAATGCAAAAGTATTAATTCCTCATTCCCTGTCCATGCTGTCACATCATCGATATAGCAGAAAAACAATGATTTTAGAATTGCTGAACTTTACTGTAGACAAATTATTTACCGTTATTTTTATGACAAGCTTTATGTATTTTACGAGAACAATCTAAAGATCTGGCTGATTTCTGTTCGATCCCGGTTATGGATTTCATACGTCGAGCTCTGTCGATGTCTACAAGCAGCATTTTTTATTTCAAAGGGGCACGCGATGTGTATCTTCCAAAAAAACTATGTATTGCAACATTGATGATACTTAGCATTATACAATGTAATATAACGAATAATACGCCAGGTGTCTATAAATCTATAAAGCTATACTTCCAGTGTCCGTGCACATGCAGGGGCCACTCTCAGGGATCGTTAACAAAGTCAGAATTGTCAGGAATTCAAAATGGATTCAAAGTGGATTTTGAATTTAAGGTCAAAGTATTTGAACTGGAGGTATAGCTGGCTGGGAGGATTTAGTTTGTTCTTAGAGAATAATCCTGATTGTAGTGGCTATTTTTTTATTTTTTTGTACCCTCACACGTCCAAACACAACCCGTACGTGGACAAATACCCCGTCCCCACCTGTAGATTACACAGCCTTTAGACATGGCACCAGGCTGTTCCTGACTCCTTCAAGGTAAAAAAAAAACCATAATGAGGAATTTATAAAGTGAATCCTGTTCAGCTCCATTTTACTCATGTTTTAACAAGATTTGAATAGATGCTAAAGACATGCAACTGGAATGTCATTATTTCAACATGATGGCACGCCAAGATGAAACCATCTCACATCCCGATAAGATTAAAGAATTCTAACACACAGGAAGGAATTACGTCTGTACATCTGTTTAGCACTAATATATTATCAGCTTACAGAATGGAGCTGACAGCAAAGCTAATGGAAGAACACCACTATTTTAAATTGTCAGTCACGGGAATCAGTGGGAAAAAAGTGAAAAGATTAAAATAATTTTTATTCCTTATTTAAGTAACAAAACAAAAATTGTTTTTATTCAATGGACAATAAAATACGTGTTAAACCTTCCATTTGCCAGAGTCTGTGATAT